GCTCATACTAATTTCTTAAGATTTTTAGTATTTCTGTGGAGTCTGTTGTCACTTCACCTCTTTCATTCCTGATTTTACTTATTTGAATCCTCTCTTTTTTTTTTTTTTTGATGAGTCTGGCTAGAGGTTTGTCAGTTTTGTTTATCTTCTCAAAAAACCAGCTCTTTGTTTCGTTGATCTTTTGTATTGCTTTTCTGGTATCTATTTTGATTATTTTTGCTCTGGTCTTTATTATCTCCTTCCTTTTATGCCCTTTAGGTTTATTTTGCTGTTCTTTTTCCAGTTTCCTGATGTGTAAGGATAACCTGTTGATTTGAAATTTTTCTTGCTTCTTTAGGTAGGTCTGCACTGCTATGAACTTAGGACTGCTTTCACTGCATCCCAGAGATTTTGGGTTGTGGTGTTTTCATTTCTGTTTGTCTCAAGGTATCTTTTGATTTCCTCCTTGATCTCATTTTTGACCCACTCGCTATTTAGTAACATGTTATTCAGTCTCCATGTATTTGTGTGCTTTCCAGATTTCTTCTTATAAATGATTTCTAGTTTCATAGCATTGTGGTCGGAGAACACACTTGATATGATTTCAATCTTAAATTTATTGAGATTTATTTTGTGGCTTAACATTATACACATATACTTTAGTATTTTTATTATACTTTTCCAAGTTGCTTATGTTATTAGTTGTATCAATGCTAGACGTTGGTAGGTGTGGAAAAATAAAATTTGGGGGATGGTAGACATTTTTGAGAATTTACAATAATTGTTAAATATAATTGACTACATATGAAATTCCACCTTCTTAAAATGTATTCTAAATGATGTGGAAACTTTTAAAATGTGTATTTTAAATATTTTTTAAAATTTTGTGAATATGCATCCTTAAATGTTGAAGTAAATCGAGAATATTTCATGGTAATTTTCTTTACTTTAGAACAAACTATCAGGATTATGTGGGAACTTTGACAAATGTACTTCAAATGATATGACCACATCTAATAACATAGAAGTGAGAAATGCCCAGGTATTTGGAGATAGCTGGGCATTAGGACAGGTAAGTTTAAAACTAAACAAATATTTTTTGGTATATTTACTCACTGGGACATTTTATTCTTCTTGGAACATTTATTTAGGTAATACTGTTTTTATGTAATATTTGTATAGTGACTTGCAGTTGACAGACTACTTTCATATTTATGTTCTCATCTGATTCTTGTGAGAGCCTAAGAATTTAAAGGTTGTTGTCTTCATATCATAAATGGAGAAATGGAGGCTGAGGGAGGTTAAATGATGTGTCTAATATTACATATATCTACAAAGGAGCGGAGGTGGCATTGACGTTCACATCCTTTAATCTCATACTTTTTCTTCCCTAGCAAAATGCTTCATCAATGTACTGTAGTACATTGTAGTGATGATGTGACTTTTGCCAACTCAAAGCATTTACCCAAAGTAATTCCTTAACTTTGTTCTCTAAACCATGGCTGTGTGTGAAGGTATGGGGAGGAATGGGGAGTGAATTTGTAGTCAACTACCTTTGGGAGCAGATTCAATAAATTATAATACATAGCTCTTTTTTGAAAGATTTCTTGAGGTATTGTAAGTGTCCAAGGGACACGTGTATTTGAAGTATTTCCCAAACTTACTGATACAGAAACTATGTTTTTATGTATTAATTTTCAAGGAAGGAGTGTTCTACACACTTTGAGAAATGTTGAACTAACTCAGAAAACAAATTGGAAATTGAAAATTCTACTTTTTTAAAGCCTGTTTTTCTTTCTAACTGAAAGAAGTGTCCACAACTACAATTTCCTGGTTGGTTACTATTGGGTTTGTTGCTTTACTACTTTGCCTACTTTACCTAATATATCTAAATCTCTTCAAAAAAATAAATGGGGATTGGGGTAAAATATTTACCCTGTTTAGGAAAATATATGCTGTATATTCCAGTGTGGTCTACGGTGAAGAATATAAAGATTTTATTTTATTTTTTTAATATATAAAATGTCTACTTTACAGAGAGACACACAATTTTTTTTATTAGGGCTATCATATATCTTGTAGCATTTAGAAGTTTTTGAAGAAAAACTTGTCCTTTTAAAAGTGAATTCAGTAATAACTAATACATAGTAGTAGTAAAATATTTGGACTAATCAAAAAATTTAAATTCACTAAGATGTATTTTTTTATTCATACCTAATGGACGAAGCTGAAAATAAAAAAAAAAAACACCTCTTTTTCATTCTGTAGGTTTTGTTTAGCCCTTAATGTTTTCCAGGTTATATGAACACATAAGATGATAAAAACACAGCCCCTGCCCTTAAGGAACTTAGGGTCTAGGTTAGTAGATGAAGTAGAAAAATTAAGAATGAAAATATGATATAGGTGCTTTGATAAAGTTGTACACAACGTGGGGTTTGTGGTGGTTAAAGGAAGGTTCCTGGAGAGAAGGTGCCACTGAGCTGAATCCTACAAGACTTATGGGAACTAAAAAAATGCCGATGATGGGAAATAGTGTAGCATGGAAGGAGAGAGCAGCCCTTTATAAGGTGTCAGGAAGACTGGAGTGAGTGTGCTGCCTGACAGGAATTTCAAAAAATTCATTATTGTTGTGGTCGAGGGTTAGAAGTAGGGAATGGCTGTAATGCAAAACGTAGCATGCCAGAATCTGGGCTAAAGGCCCTAAATTAGTAAGGAGGCTCTTATGATCAGGCTAGAAATGTTAAATCAGTAGAAATTTAGAAAACTATACACATTTGAGAGACATGAAAGGTTAAAATCATCAGCATCTGTTGAAAGGTTGTATTAGGAAGGATGAGTCTGGAGAAGCCAAGAAAGTCTTCTGTCTTTCTGGCTTATTAGGTAGACGCTGGTGCCTCTCCCTGAGGCATGGGTGGTAGAGGATAGAGGGAATAGGACATTGGTGTTGAGATAAGTACAGGTTAGGATATGTTGAAAGAGAAGTGACAGAGATATTTATGTGGAAGTGCCCAGTTTTGAGATTCAGGAAAGAGATCTGGGCTGGAAATATGCATTTGGCAGTTACTAGTCTATTCAGACTGTTGAAACCATGAGAAGTGTATAGAATGAGAAAAAGAGAGGTTTGAGGATCAAGCTTTTCAAAGAAAGAAGAGGAAGGAGAATGGGGAATAGCAGCCAATGAATTAGGAGGAAACCCAGTAGAAAATGGTGCCACAAAAACAAATGAGAGACATTTAAGAAGGGCAAAGTGATAAACAGAATCAAAGGTAGCGAAAGGTCAAGTGAGATGAAGACTAAAAAATTGCCTTTATATTTAGTAACAAAGAGACAATTGATGACCTTTCCCAGAGCTTTTCAGGGAGGTAAATTAAAAGAGGCAGAGACCAAATTGCTGAGTATACAGAAGGTGAACCTGTAGACACTTGAGTATATACAACTCCTCAGAAGATGGCTTGTGACAGAAGTGAAAGAGATGAAAACTAAAGGAGGAAGAATCGTTTGCTCATGTAATTCTCTTAGTCGTGTCAATGCTGCATTTAAGACAATTTAAAAATTATTTACCTTTATTCTCTCTCTCTCATATTTCCATGATTTTAATAGTATGTTTAGTTGTTTTCAAACATAATATATGCTATTAACATTAACTTGACTGAGTGCAGGTGCTTTAGGTAAAGCTTGTCTTAAAAAAATGAAAATACATTAGATGCAATTGTAATGTATGGAGTCGGAATAGTTTACTCTGGTTTCAGCTTCAGAAATCACCCCTTTAAAAACTTTCTTTTCTCCCTTAACTTTTTCAACAGTGTGAAAGCTCATATGAATTATTTAAACCCTGCGAGGCACATCAAAACAAATTTCCTTATGCCAAGAAAGAATGCTCCATTTTGTACAGCGATGTTTTTGCTCCTTGTCGCAATGTGGTAAATGAATACTTTACTAAGCTTTTAAATTTAAGTGGGTACTGCTGTATCTATAATATTAAGATGAACAGGACAAATAATTTAGCTACCCATTGCTAGGAAACAAATATGGCAGTTTTCTTTAAGTGGTGCATTTTGTTGATTTACTTTCTCCCTCACTCCACCTTATTTCACAACAAACATTTGTATGTAATATTTGTAATAATCTGTTCTAGTTTATGAAGCAATTTTTGCATGCATCAAAGAAAGCTATAAGTGATTGATCAAAGCTATAAATATTTTTCTTTAGAGAACGTTGCCAAATGGTCATTCTTTTCCTCCACCCAAAGTATAGTTTTAAACCATTTCGAGTGGCACATTTAAAGTGATCTTAGAAGCACTTTGTAAGATAGACTGTAACTTACTTAGAAATTTAATAGTTTAAAATATTCATAAAAGTCAAGTAAAAGTACAATTGGTAACAGAACATTCTTTTAATGCCATAAGAAGATTTGAAATAATGAAACAATAAACTTGTATAAAATATTAATCAGTTACATTGCAGATGTTGGAATTACATTTGTATGTTAATCCCATTATCTGTTTTTCTAGTTCTTTGGTCTTACCTTTGCCTAATAAATTCCTTTCTGCTTTGGGCAATATAGAGGTTTGTGAATAGTGAGAACTTTTTGATTGGCAGTGTTAAACTGATCATATCAAATTTTGAAAATCTACCAGTTAGTTTTTTTTTTAAAGGTTGAATTATAGTTACTACTTATTGAATTAATTCAGTTTAACTCTATTTTCAGATTGATGTTACTTCCTTTGCCAAAAATTGCCATGAAGACACATGTAACTGTAACCTTGGAGGGGACTGTGAATGCTTCTGCACAAGCGTAGCAGCATATGCCTATAAGTGTTGTCAGGAGGGGGTGTCCATTCACTGGAGGACATCTACTATTTGCTGTGAGTACCCAACGTAGAACGTCACAATTAGGTGGGAACCCTATGAAGAGATCCATGTTAATTGTCTTATCATAGAACTAATATTGTGGGACTCATGGAAATAGAATTTCTTTAAGATGACTAAATTTTACTTTGGCAATGCAGGTACATTGTAGTGTAGCTAAAGGATTTGTAAAAAGAAAACACTGAGGTAACCTTTTCTGTTCTGGGTTTGACAGTTGTCGCTGTAGCATTTGAACGATATTTATATACCATGTTCAGAGAAATTGTTTATGACTCCATCCCTCATATGGCCCTGTTCTGATTATAAGAAACATATTTTTAAAAACATTGTTTTGAATTTGCTTTCAGATTTGACTCTAAACTTTTTATTTACTTGTGTAAATGGTAAGTCATCTAAAGACTTTATAATGATGTCACTGTGTTCTTTCACTTGGTCATTGATAAACACAGGGCCATATCTTGTACATCTTCAGATAAGTGGTCAGATTTTTATGTAATTTAATATTTCTTTTTTTCTTTTAGCACTTGATTGTGAATATTACAATGAAGGTATGTGACATTTAAAAAATACTACTATAGTGTTCTATTAAATGTATCTTCAAATTAAAAGGTTTTGAACAACTTTGCTGAGAACAAAGTATGAATACTTCATAATTTGGGATATAACTCACTAAAAGCCATTGCGTTCTGAAATATATCTGAATTTCTAAGCATTTGTATTAAAATTGATCCCCTGGAAATCCAAAAGACAGAATAAATGAGCAAACAAAACAAATAGGCATAGAGATACAGAGAAAAAAAAACTGATGGTTGCTAGATGGGAGGGGGATTAGGGAATGTGGGAGAAAGTGAAAGGATTAGAAAGTACAAGTCGGTAGTCACAACATAGTCATGGGATGTGAAATACAGTATGGGGCATGTAATCAATAATATTGTAAAGATTATGTAGGGTGCCAGATGGGCACTGGGCTTATCAGGGGGAATCACTTCATAGGTTGTGTAGATGCCTGACCACTCTGCTATACACCTGAAGCTGAAGCTGAATAATACTGAATGTCAACTATAATTGAATATGTATATAGTCAAGGGGTATGGAGTACAGCATTGAGAATATAGTCAATGGTATAGTAACAGCTATATATGATGTCAGAGGGGTAGTAGACTTGGAGGGGGGCTATCACTTTGTGGGAGTATAAATGTCTAATTATTGTGTTTTCTACGCCTGAAACTAAAAAAAAAAAAAAAAAAATATTCCCTGGAAAATAAAAAGAGTGTGTAACTAAGTTCTCAGCATCTAGGAGGCCATCAATAGTTTTTGAACGACATGATTGAATGAATGAAGTTAGGTTTTTTTTAGGTAAAAAGGAAGAAAGACATATACCAAATCTATACTTTTTACCATTTTGTATAAATATGGACATTATTCAAAGTTTCATTATGTTGGAATTTATATAGCCATTACTGCAGGCAAAAATAATTATTTACATACAATAATGAGAACATATTAATTTAATAATAATAATTAATAATAATAATAATAAATAATAAAAATCTCCTAATCTCACCAAGCATCCAGACTTGCAATGAGAAGTCTAACAGGAGGTGCTGGCTAAAACTAACTAGGTATAGACATAAGAGACAGAATTATATCCTTAGTGAAAATGCCAGAAGTCAGCAGAATTGGAGCCTGCTTTTTATCAATCCTGTTTGATGAGGAAGGCATAGCCACTTTAACCCAATTTCAGACAAGTAAGGTGATCCGGGGAGGTGTCTGTTAGTCAGTGACTGGACGAAGGTTGGACCATGATGGATAAGTTAGAGCAATAGTTAGGAAACCTAAGCCATTAAAAAAAAACAGGGCCGGCCAAGTGGCGCGATGGTTGGGAGCTGGCTTGGGACGCCAGAGGGTCCCAGTTCGGATCCCACATATGAGGGCTAGTGACACTGCCCTCCACAGCTGGGATGCTGCAACAGCAGCTCGGCCTGGAGCTTGGCTGCTGTGAGTCACCAGCGATGGCGTAGGCTGCAGCCCCTGTGGTAGTGGGTTGCCATGGGCTATTGTGAGTGGTTGGCAGCCAGCGTGAGCGGCCGTCCAGAAACCAGCGACTGATCTGCCTTGCCCGTGAGGAGCGCGGTGATGGTGCCAACTTGGGCCGGTGGGGCGGCGTCCTCCTCAACTGGACTGAGGAACAAGGGGACAGCAACTTGTCTGTTCCCCTTCCCCCAGTTCTCTAGCACTGTTCCCATCCCCCCAATTCCCCAATAAAAAACAAAAAAACAAAAACAAAAACAAGCAACCAATCCATGTCATTTTTGGTGCTTTAATGAGCCAGGGAGAAACTGGTCAGCTATAGTTCAAAGGCGGCCAGAAAATTTTAGAGAAATAGAAGTAATGAATTAAAAAGAAAATACATATTTTAGTTTTTCATTGTTTTGTTACATTTATGGAAGTTTAGTGGAGGAAAATAATCCAGCATGAAAAAAATTCTGTGGTAAAGAAAATCTAAATCAAAAATATTTCCTGTTCAGGATTTAAAACACACCTACACTCCCATCAGTCCTTTAGATTCTATGCTTAAAATGAGACGGGGTTACCTAATATTTATAACAGTAATAATAACAATAGCTTTTATTTTGTTAACTGCTTTACCTATATTATATAATTTAAGCTTCAAAATGCCTATAAGACAAGTATTATTAATAACACTTTATAGAGGATGAAATTAAAGCCCAGAGGGGTTAAATCATCTGGCCTAAATCACTTGGCCAAAGACGGTAAACGGATTTGTAGACTATCTGAGTGCAGACCTAAGGAGCTGGACCTCCATGCTACACTGCCTCATGTCTGGATAACATATCCTACTCTAAGGATGATGACCACACATCATTATCACGTACTCTACATACACAGATACCAATTTGAGAAAATGCTCTAATAACATCCTCACTTAAGACTTCCTGCCTCACACAGTTGTGCTGTGAAAATCTCCATCTGTGCCATTGTACTTTCTGGTGCTCCTTCCGCTGGCCCTTGGATCTAGAGGCAGAATTTTCTGAGTATTGAATTTCTACCTCTTGCTACTTTGTACCTTTTCCTTTCTGTCGGACAAGTCTGATGTGCATTTAGTGATGTTTCTTTTTTTTTTCCTAATGTGTTACAGAATTCTTCAAACCAGTTCTTCTAGTTTCCTTTTTAATAGCCTATTGGTCATATTCAGAGAGTGAACATGGGGCATTTGGTCTTCCTGAGACATTAATGGACTCAGTGGAGTGACAGAGGGAATCTACTTCCTATGATCAAAGTAATAGGGAAAAGCATCAGCCTGCCAAAGAGAGTAAGAGTTTGGGAAAATAATGCAATAAAGACAGATGACTGAAGGGGAATATTGAACTGTGGAGATCGTTGACAGTAGTAATGAAAAAAATCATTCAAATTAATTGTTCTTAATTTGTTTCATCCTAAATAATTTCACAGCTATTGCAAATTTACCAGTCTTCTTTGGATATTCATAGTTGACATATTTCTCCCTTTATTTACCACGTACTGGACACTATATTATTAAGATATTTATGCTTTAAAGCTAATGTAGAAATAGATAATTGTGATTCTGTCGGAGGGAAACTTTAAAAACAGTAGGAGAATTCAGAAGTTCCAGCTGAGATTATCTCAATAATCCTTAACACAAAGACTCGAAATACTATCTTCAGGTTTATTTTATGGCATTTACTAAAAATATAATTTTATTGTTGTTATTGCTGTAGGTGAGCAAGAACTTCAATATTCCACTAAAAACTGTTGTGCAAGTTTGATGTTCAGTATTTTTTATTTATTGGGTTGTCGAAAAGTCATGACGCATTTTTGCAGCAAAAAACATAGAAAAAAATACATCATGCCTTTTCCGACAACTCAATAGATATGACATGCTTAACACTGTATTTAAATAATCACTGTGGGATATGATTGCTTTCAGTAGATAGTAGAAATAGACTTCTCCCTGCAGAAAATTAGTGATAAAGTCAATGACTTTTGTCTCTCAATTACTGGTGAAAATGAATGAAAACAATCCAGACACGAGATTTCAGTCAATTGGGAGTCAATTGAGAAGCTTTCAATTTTTATACAAATGGATTTCTCAGATGACAATTGTCTCTTCAGGTTGCTATAGTAAGGGACTTGTGCAGTAAGGTGAAGAAGATTTTGTTTACTTGTCTATTTCCTTTCTGCTATTCTTATGTTTAATATCTGTGAGGGAGCTTCAAATCCTTAAGTTGTAGGTGTATGTATCCTCTTCATTTTGAGTTGTAGGTCACTATAATTTACATGTTTATCTACTCATTTGTACATTATTTACATATATCTACAAATTGACATATTTATAAATTGAAGTGTATTGCATCTTAGAAGTTTATGTTGCTCTTGTCTTTCCTAGAAAATAAGCCAGTAGGTGATATAGTTTTCGTTGGTTGTTGGAGATTTGGGCTCATAGAGAAACACTCATTGTGCATTGTATACATTTGTAACAGTCCACTGCATCTGGGCTCATCAAGAAATTCTCCACTGCACCCGCTCAGTTCCATCTTGATGAGGAGGCAAAGGTCTTCCAAGTCTCCGTCTCTACTCAGGGTGTCCAAGTCCCTAATAAAGTTCTTTTCCTCAGAGCTTATTAGTGTCCCCAGCTATTCAATGGTGAGATGTACAAACTGATAAGTCAGTGGAGGGGATAGCATTTGAAGTTAACGTATCCTATGAGTCCCCGCCTCTTTTCCTGGTCCTCATGATGGAAATTTTGGTTTTTGTTCTCCTTTCTACTTGAAAGGTTTTGACATTCTGATCCAGTGATTTTTCTCCCCTTCCCGCAGGCCTGGTCTTCATTCTGAAAGGGAAGGAAAAACTAGTCCTTGGATTTCTTGGCATTTTTTGCCCCCTCTATCTTGAGTGGGCTTGGAAAAGAAAAATTGTCCTTGAGATAAAAATTAGAGAAAAGAAGGAAAGTGAAATTCACTGAACACACCAGATTAATTTTTTTATGATCCTACCTACTACACATATATTAGCATTTTACATAGTCTACAACATAATATATATATATATATATATATATATATATATATATATATATATATATATATATATATATATATA